GTTTCCTCCATATGTTTCTGCATTTGATTCTTACTGCTGATGTTATTAATTCAGGGATTTCTTTTTTTATTTCCAATCTGAGTTCCTCTATACCTTTCTGCAGCTGTTTCTTTATTTCAGAAGCTGTTGATTTATTGCTTTCAGCTGTGTGATTCCTAATTTGTTCTGTGTTAGTGTCCTCTGCACTTGTTACAGTGGTGAGCTTGGGTGGGCTTGGGTTCTGAAGTTGCATTTTGTTCCTTCTCGTCATTTTGTGTAGCACTGTCTTCTGACCTTTGTTGTATATCTTCGTTGTAGTTATAACCTTAGCACGTACTGAAGTTCAGGTGCAGTCTACAAAGTTTGGATTTATCCAGCTGTGCCTGGCATGGATCTGGCTGCTGTGCTCATCTCCTGCTGCTGCCCTTGAGGGTGAACCTGTTGTGCCCCTCTGTCAAGATGTTCTTCTCCTGGATTAGCTGGGTGGTTCTATCCTCTACACTCTCTGCAGGGATTGCAGCTGCAGTGTTATCCCCCAGGCATGTATGCCAGGCCTGAGCTGAGCCTGGATGGGACAAGGTAGAGTAGTGGGGAGAGGCAGCTCTCCCACACACTCTCTTGTTCTGGGCTAGGACTTGGTGTGGGGGTTCCCAGAACGTGACAGAAATTCCCACTGGTTGGGCTGGCTGGTGGAGGTGCTGTGGAGTGGGGGTGGGGCTCCCAAGGGGGTGGAAGAGGGACTAGCCCATGCTGTGCCTGTGCTGGGACCAGTAGTAGGTCCCGCCGGTGCAGGGTGGCAGGATGCTCTCCCACACACTCTTGGGACCTGGGCTAGGACTGGGTGTGAGGGTTCCCGGAATTTGGCAGAAATTCCTAGTGGGCGGGCGGGGTGGGGGAGGTGCTGCGGAGTGGTGGGGGGCATTCCAAGGGGGTGGGAGAGGGTCTCGCTCATGCTGCACCTGTGCTGGGACCAGTAGTTGGTCCTGCTTGCGCAGGGTAGCAGGAAGCTCTTCGACACACTCACTGGACCTGGGCTAGGACTGTGTCTGGGGGTTCCCGGCATGCGGCAGAAATTCCTACTCAGTGGACTGGGTGGTGGAGGTGCTGCGGAGTGGTTGAGGGCATCCCAAGGGGGTGGAAGAGGGTCTCGCCCACGCCGTGCCTGGGCTGGGACTGGTAGTCAGTCCCACCAGCCAAATTTCTTCTTTCATTCTGTAGGTTTTCTCTTTGATTCCTTTTCTGTGTAGAAACTTTATTTTATATAATACCATCTATCTGTGTATATTCCTGTTTCTTGTACTTGCAGAATGTTGATCTAATAATCCTTGCCCGTTCTAGTGCTATCAAGCATTTGTTTTAGATTGATCATTAGTCTTCAATCCATTTGAGTTTTGTACTGGACAATAGAGGTATAGTTTTATTATTGTGCTTATTCTTAACCAGTTTTTCAAATTCCATTTATTGAATTCTGTCCTTTCTTTAGTGTGTGTTCTTAGCATCTTTGGTAGAATCATTTGGCCATATGTAGAAGTCAACCATGGTCTCCATTTTCTTCCATTGGCGTATGTTCTTTTATGCCAATACTGTTTTGTTTGGATAACTATTATTTTGTGTATGTTGAAGTCAGGTAATATAATGCCTCTAGCTTTTTCTTGCAAGAATTTTACTCATCAAGATTTGTGAAGTGTGCACTCTGATTTTATCTCCGCAACTCGCACTAACCGACACAGCTGCACATTTCTTTAAAAGAGCACACAGTGAGCTATACAAGAGTCGAAAGCTGGAACAGAAGCTAACCTTTTCTCTCATTTTTGAAGTTTGCTTTACATGCAGTTATTCATAATGCTGATACAAGTGCACATATTTAGGACCGTCTTGAGTGCCCAACAGTTTACTTGTACTTTTTTGCAATTCAATATTATGAAAACTATCTCTCCCTCTCAATCTTTTGTAGGGGCTTATTTTTGGAGAAGGAGCTAGCAGGCCATACAAGTTCACCATTTGACCAAAACTTTTCTGTGCCTTTCATCTGCAAAAATACTTGAAAATACATAATTGAAATTTTTCTTTAGTTTATTGTTTCATATAATATAACCTTCATTAGAGGACTTAACTTTTTCTCTCAATTTTTAATCTCTATTTCCTAGAATGGGTCCTAGTTTGTAATAGGTATTCAGTGTAAAAACTTGAAGAAATGAGAAATGAATTTCATTTATTTTAAATTCTGATTGAAGAGATGCTAACACCTCCTTGGACATCTCTGTGCTCTTAACTCTGCCGATACTTTGTTTTGCTTCTGAAATCATAGTTTTCATTATGATCTTTATTATGTATGGTATTTGTGACACATTTTCCTTTGTAATTATTTAGTCTTTTAAATTCTAGATCATTCGTGTACCATCTCATTTATGTAAGTAGAATGCAGTCTCAGAGCCTTTCTTGCTTTGACATTTGGGTTTCTGCTCAAATATTGTATAAGACATTATCAGTAGCATCACTCATCTTTCCTGGTCCTTTTATCTAACTCTATTCTTTTTTCCTCTCTAATACTTCTGTGTTGTTAGTATATCAAAATTGATTTTTTTTGTTGTTGTTTTTGCTGGCTAAGAATGCCTTCAGGGCAGGTTTGACTGGCTTGAGTTCTGGGGATTGAACCACAGCAACCTGAGCCTGAATGTTTTGTTTAAGCAGACACTTAAAGAACTGAGCTAAGGGGCAGGCCCCCTCAAAATTGATTTGTCATGTCTCCCTCTACACTCTTGAAATGTAGTGCATACTTAAATAAAAGTACTATTAACTTAGCAAGTGTACTTCTTTTGGACAAAATCATGTAAAGTAGCTTTTGCCACAGGGATCTGTTCATAAATTCAAAGAGGGTGTATTTATGTGTTAATTTAGTAACTAATGTTTGAAAAACAAAATGACTGATTTTAATAAGTCTTTTGCCATTATTAGTGCTGTTAGTTGGTGAAATTAAATGTTATACAAGGTAGCTGTTTGCTATCTTCCTTTGAGAAGTACATAGTAGTGAAATCTCTTGAGTTTATTAGTAGAATAATCAGGTTTAAATAGTTGTTCCTTAATCATATGTGACTAAAAAATCCCCCAGACTTTGTTCATATTAAAAAATGGGTATAATTACAGATGCCCTATTGCTATTTCTGAGTCAATTTTGAAGTTCAATAAAATAATGAATACTGGGGCTGGGGAGATAGCTCAGTAGAATAAGCGCTTCCCTGGCAAGCGCAAGGGCCTGAGTTGAATCCTCAGTTGCATCAAAAAAAGAAAAAGAAGTTAATATTTGGTTAAATAACTTTTTATCTCCCACAATTATGTACCTCAGCCTCAGCCTCAGCCTAGGAAGTGCAGGTACCACTGTGGCATGTATCACTGTAAAAACTTTCATATTTTGCTTTGAAAATGTAAAGCAAAAAATTACAGAATTTAAATACATTGTAAATTATGGGGTATTGGTCAGTGGGAAATAACTCAAATGTTGAAACACAAGTAAAGTTTAAGACACTGATGTTTATAATGTAAAGTTGTTTTATATAGTTGAATTTTTTTCTCTTGTTTTTAAATTGCAGTGTGGACTCCAATTGCATTGACAGTGTTTTTAGTGGCTGTTGCAACACTGTGTAAAGAACAAGGCATAACAGTTGTGGGAATATGTTGTGTGTATGAAGTATTTATTGCCCAGGGGGTAAGGACAAATAGAGATTTTCTTGTTGCTTTCTTTTGTCCTAGTAGAAACGGATTTTATTAACCTTATATTCTGTATATGTGAATTTATTTACCAATAATGGTACCAAGATTTTTCAAAAACAAGCATTAACCCCTGACAATGACTTATTTAACATTTTATGACGCATTCAGCTTTGAATGGAGTTTTTTAAGCTTAGCAATGAAATTGTCAAGCAATTTGGAGAATTACACATTAATACTGACAGTAATTCATTATTGGATAAGATTATTGAGCTTTTTATTCATTAACTTTCCACAAGTCGTTCTACATTGATTTTCCATTTATGTTCAATTGAAATCTAGTCTTGTATTTAGAAATTACTGAATTATTGAAAATGGTATGATTTGTTATAGTTTTTTTTTTTTTTTTCTTTTTAGTATACTTTGCCATTATTGTGTACTACTGCTGGACAGTTTCTCCGTGGAAAGAGTAGTATTCCATTTTCTCTGCTGCAGACACTGATAAAACTCATTGTCCTGATGTTCAGTACGTTATTACTTGTGGTAATTAGAGTCCAGGTTATTCAGTCACAGCTGCCAGTATTTACAAGGTATGAATTCTGGTTCTCTTTTATTTTTTACTTCTAAGTGATCATAAATGTTTCACATGGTCTTTGATTTACATTGAGTATTTCAACAGCTTCTTTTGCCATAAAATCAACATATTTAACAAACTATATAACATTTCAGATATACAAATTGATTAGTTATGGCATCCATGAAACCACCACAATAAAGATAAAGACTCCCAAATTGGTTAAGTGTTAAAGCTAGTGTTGTCTTTTCTATCCGTAGTGGTCTTTGTCTTTATCAGTTTTTCAGAGATGAATGTTGAAGTCTTTCTAAAATATAGATCAGTCTAATTTACCTTACAGATCTATTAGTGTCTTTTTCTCATGTCTTTTTGAAGCTGTTATTAAGTGCATGAATGTTTATGATTGACATGTTGTCTTTCTTTTTTCTTTTTTGTAGTACTAGGGATCAAACTTAGGACCTCATGCTTGCCAGGCAGGCACTTATGACACTGAGCTATCTCCCCAGCCCTGACATGTCGTCTTAATGAGTTGATCCCTTTATTAACATTAGATGATGTTTCTTACAAATAGTATTAATCCTTACTTAGAACTTCATATTTTAATGATTATTGATACATTTGATATGAATATAACTTCTTATAAATTATGTTACAAAGTTTTCTTATGTGAAACATTTATCTTAGAGGTATATGCTAATAATATTATGTATCTCTGTCTTTCTATTTGAAGATTTCAGTAGTTACAGATAAATAGGTCTTCCTTTTCTGTTTGATGAGATGATCTTACTTTTAAATAGGGTGTCTTATCCTTTTATGTTTAATATTAAATAACACTGGTGAATATTCCCAAAAGCATCCATGCTACACATACAGTGAATCTTAAGTGACTTTTGTTATGACTAATTAGGTCATAATTTAAAGCATTTCTGCCTAGTTGTGATATTATGTATGTCTGAATTATTCTGATAGAAAGAGATGACCTTTAAACAGTTCCTTGTAAATACTAATTCTTTCAACGATACATTTCATAAATTTCAGTTTGAATTTTGATGAAATTAGGATGTACCCATAAAATCTTTCTTCTTTGATTTAACAGGATTACACATAATAATATTTCTTTTACTACTACTTTTTTATTCATATACATACTGTTAAGTTATAGAATGCATAGTGTTTAAAAAGTATTTTGTTTGGTGGGTGTGGTGCCGCATACCTGTAATCCCAGCAATTGGAAGACTGAGGCAGATGGGTCTCTGTGAATTCAGAGCCAGCCTGGAATACATGGTGAGTTCAAGGCTAACCCAAATTACATAATAAGATCCTTGTAAAAAAAAAAGTATTTTCTTTTAAATAACTTTATTTTCGTTCTTTATACAGGTTTGATAACCCAGCTGCTGTAAGCCCAACTCCTACAAGGCAGCTGACATTTAACTACCTCCTTCCTGTGAATGCTTGGCTTCTGTTAAATCCTTCAGAGCTCTGCTGTGATTGGACAATGGGAACAATACCACTGATAGAGTCATTTCTTGATATTCGAAATCTTGCCACTTTTGCTTTCTTTTGCTTTCTGGGGGTTTTGGGAATATTCAGTCTCCGATACCCTGGTGATTCTTCTAAGACTGTATTAATGGTAAGAAACTTTCCAAACTTTTCAAATAAGGTTACATTCCATTGATTAAGAAGCTACTTTTAATTCATAAAAACCATCCTAGAAACCATTTCTTTGTTCAGCATCTTCCAGATCTATGATTTAATTTCCTGATATATTTATTTTAGATTCTCCTAAAATTATATATGAGAATGTGATTTGAAGGTATAAATTGTTGTATACATGTAGCGTGTCTTACGTTTCTTAAGGTAGTCCATCTAAAATAGCTGGTTATAATATTGTATACTTGTTTTCCTTTCATGGAGAAAGTTCCATATGAAATATGCTAAGAAAATGCACATAGCTCTTAATTCTTATTAGCAATGTTTTCGTTACTTTCTGAGTAGATCTCATTACATTCAGAGAAGGTTGATTACTTTAAAAAGTCTTATTGTTGTCCTCTTAAGTCATCTTTCTTTGTAATTTTTGTATTTGACCCTCACTTCTTGCAAAAGTTGTTTTTTTAACAGAGTAGTAAGTTTAACATTTTCTCCAACACCTACTATATGTTATCAAGCATATGCGTTACAAAATATATCCTTTTTTGGATAGTTATTAGATTCTTTTATTCATTCAGGAGAAATTTTGATGGTAGCCTACATACTAAACAGTATGTTGAACACAAAGGATGATAATAAAAAGATATACCATGCCCATTTCCAGGTGGCTTGAATTATAGAGGAATTTGTAGTCAGTGCCTGTGATACAGAGAAAATTTAAAGAATACAGCATAGAGTTTGGGGAAAGATGATATTTGCTATTATCTTTGGATATGTTGAGTTAATAGTTTCTTTGAAACATACTAGTAGAGATTTTGAATAGCACTTCATGTCTACAATTCAGGAGTGATTCCTGAGCTGCACATAAACATTTTATTCATTATGATAAGGTAGTAATTGAAACCAAGATGTAGATAGTGATGGCATATGGAGAAGTTATAAAAGCAACTTTTCTCAAACAGGATATTGTCATTTCTCTGAAATAATGCCTAGTACCATTCTGGTTACAGAGGAGAGAGTTAATTCACACTTACTATGGATGACCATCAGCATTTAATCTTAATTCTCCCCTCAAAAATAATTAAGGTTGATAGAGTGAGAGAGAAACCTGTGACTTTATCCTAAAAAATTTCCCATATTTAGATTTTGAATAGAGAAGAATGAACCTAAATAGAACACGTTATCAAATAAACACAAAAATAAGAAAATGTTATAAGAAAGACAGAGTGGTTAGCACTAATAGATGCTGTTCAGTTAAAAAGTAAAATTTAGTTGAAAAATGCTATTTGGCTTCAGTTACTTTAATGTCAAACTGTTGATTGACTAATATTGAGAAACATTTTTACTGGAGTATTCAGCTGTCTTTTTGAAGCAGATAATGTGCTAATCAATTAGATTGCAAAAAAATGTATTAAGTTGAAATATTGATTCAGTTTAAGACTACTAGTTACCATAGCTATAAAAGTCTTTATGATTTTAGGAACTTCATTTATACCTGAGGGACAGAATGAGTGAGGAATAGGTTAAAGATAAAAGAGATTTTTATGGTTAGAAAGCCAAGAGAGTGTTTAAATTTAGGTACAAAGAATTAAGTTGATTAGACAATGGTTAAATAAATGAGAGAAGGTACAATTGATATTCACGTTTGTGAAAAATAGGGAAATACTACATAGGTTTAACCTTAGGTAGGAGAAAACTCATATAGCAAGAAGACAGCAAAGACCCTGAATGTGAATGTTGGTAGGTTTAGTAGCAAGGAATTGAAGAAGTTCTTATTTCATGGTTTTAGCTTTCTCGTAAGTAAATGGTCACCTCCTCTTAAAAGTGACTCCTAGAAGTGTAAGACAAGATTAAAAACTACCTAAAAAAGTAGAATCAAACCTATCACAAAACTAGCTATCTTGAGCAGTCTTAAGGATTGATTAGAAGGGGTTTTTTTTTATTAGAAGTTTTTGATCATGAGTTTATGAGAATATTTATCTACAATATTTATCGGCTAGATCCAGAGTCTTCACACTGAACTACATCTTCACTGCTTTTTATTTTGTATTTGGAAGCAAGGTCTTGCTAAATAAACTTGAACTTGCACTCCTGTTACCTCAGTTTCCGAGACTTCTGGGATATCAAAGTAGAACCACAGTGCCTGACTTAAAACATACTGGGGGTCTGTAATACTGGTGCTTTCTGAGGTTCTCCATAGGGAATATGTAACGTAAAGGAGTATCTTCTGAAGATAGATACTGTATTATACATTTATTAAATAAGATGTCAGATAAAGCTCAACAGCATAATGTAAGTAATTATATTCTCAAGATGTAGTTTGGTACATAGGAAGTGTCAGATTAATCTCATTTTCTGTACTAACACATTAAAGATAGTTTAAATTGTTAAAAAGGTATAAAAAGTTAATCATAATTAACTAGATTGGCATACACTAATAAAATAACATGACTTCTAAGAGACTTGATCATTAGAGTCATTTCTTACTTCAGAACCTTTATATTAACTTCCTGAGAGATTGTTTCTCTTCTTTGATAGAGCTTATGCATCAGCCTGTGATAAATCTTTGAATGAATTTTAACACTTTTGATTTCTTCAAATGAAACTGCTGTAGGGCAACCACAAATTAACAGGGAGTGATTTTTGTCTAGCATCTCTGAGAGATGAAAATCATGTAGACTTTAATGTTTTATATTTTTTAAAAATACTGAAATATCAGTTATAATTTGATGTGATGTTTTATGGTAGTACTTTCCCTCAAATTCATTATTACCTCATTACAAATCATACGAGTGTCAACACTCATGAAGAAAATATTCCAAGTATGTATGTGTATGTGTCTGTTCCACTATTATTACAAGGAAAAGACATCTTTTGCATTAAAACTTTCAAACTTCTCCAACTGGAGGATTCATTTATTCAGTTAGGCATTACAAAACAAATTCAACTAAAAAAAAAAGTATCTATTGGTGCAGATGTCCATTGATACAAATGTGTTCATGATGGCTGAACTTAAATCCTTTCATAGGTATTTCATGTGTTAATTTTTTTTAGCTTTATAATCATGTACCACTTTTCCCAATTTACAAAGGCAAGATATCTGAGATTTTGTGATATTTTATGAATTTTAGAAATTTCTTTATAAAAACAATATATTTAAAGGGACAGTATTTTTATATGTACACTAAACTATACTTGTCTCAATGACACCTATTTTATGCTTCAGTTTATAGTATTAGTAATTTCTTATGGTAGTAAAATTATAAAAATTTACATGTTTGTCTTCGTTGTCAACCTGTATCGTTTTTTTCTGTTGAAAACCCTATTAGCATCTTTCTTTATGAATTTAGTTTTGCCGCATGTACAAAAGTTAAGTGTATAAACGTTTCTTAATTTTGAAAAAATTTATTCGTCTTATACAACGGAAAATGTATATTCTTTAGCCAACATCTTCCCAAACTTGCCTATTAACCTGATAAACACTATTACAGTCTATTTCTGTGAAATCAAACTTTTAAATGAAATCATGTAGTGTTCGTGTTTCTGTTTGTTTGTTTGTTTTCTTATTTTTGTTTTTGATTTTGACACAGGGTCTCACTCTGTATTCCATAACTGTACTTGAACTCACTGGCTAACCCATGTTAGCCTTGCAGGGATCCTCCTGCATACTGGGATTACACTGGCTTTCTATGAGTTCTTTGTTTCACATAACTAATGGCCTCATTCATCCATGTTACAAATGACCTTTTCTTAAACCTGAATGATATTCCATTAGGCATATATACCCTACTTTCTTTATGTGCTCGTCTTTTTGTGGACACTTACACTGATTCCCTTTCTTGGCTATTGTGGCTAAAGCTGCAGTAAACATGAGGGTATAGATAGTTCTTTAACACACTGATTTTGTTTCTGTTGGGTATCTACCAGTTAGTGGAATTGCTGTATAATATGCCAGCTCTACTTTTCTTTTTCAGGAAGCTTCATACTGTTTTCCATGAGGGTCACACTATGTTACATTCCCACCACCAGTGCACAGGGCTTTCCTTTCCTCACATGTTTGTAACACATACTTTCCTTTTTCTTCTTGGTAATTCCCATCCTAACTTTAGTAAGGTGGAATTTCATTGGGGTTTTAATTTCTCTGGTAGGATTTAAACATTTTTTTCATATGTGTTTTAGCCATTTGTATGTCTTTAGGGCAATATTTAGTTAGATCTTTTGTCCATATTTTAATTATTTTTGTTTGAGTATACTGTTTTAATTACATTTTAAATCTTGTTGGGTTTTTTTTTATAATTTGGAGAAACTTTACTCAGTGTTTTAAAGATGTAAATTTATTACCTTTAGTTTTTATGTCTTAACTACAAAACATTCCTCACAGAAAAGCCTCAAGAGAGAACTAAGCTGTACAGACTTAAAACACTAAAAGTTTCCCATTTTCAGAAATTATTTTGAAACATACAAAACAATCTTGTTTTCAAAGAAAGTCCGCAAATATTCTTCAATTTTAAGGTGTAGAATTCCAGAAGATCCCCGTCTCCTCTTGCTTATACAGGTCTAGGTGGTTTCGCCCGAGCCTAACTAGCCCTCTTTAGGTTTGCGTTAATATTTTTGTACTGCTTAAAATGGTGCTCAGGTGCATTTATCCAAATTGAATGTTTTTGATTTACTTGTTGAGAATCCACACTTTTTTTTTTTTTTTAACTTAATAAACTATCTCCTTTTTCTTTCTAGGCACTTTGTTTAATAGCATTACCATTTATTCCTGCATCGAACCTTTTTTTTCCTGTTGGATTTGTTGTTGCTGAGCGAGTACTATATGTTCCTAGCATGGGATTCTGTATTTTGGTAGCCCATGGATGGCAGAAAATTTCAAAGAAAAGGTGAATTAAAATGTTAGTTTATTTAATTCTTACTAAATATAGAATTGTGGTACACAAAAGTATTTTCAGTCTGTATTTGAATTTTGTAAGTCATACTTTACTACTCTTGTTTTTCCTCTTCATAGTCTCATTGGTCTAGCATTCACATTAGGAAAGCTCCACAGAACCTACACATTCTGTGTTTTTCCCTCTATTTATATAATTTTATTTTATAGCCTGAGCCAAAACAAACTTTGAGTCAGACCCAAATGAAAATAAGAATATTCTTGAGAATAAATCACAAGTGACCATTTCCTCATTCACATGCAGTGAACTAAGATATAGTCATCCTACTTGAGTCATACTGCCTTCTTGATATATGTAAAATGCATGTAGTATGAAGTTTATAATTTCTTACTCTTTGTCATCTTGGTGTATACTTTAATGGTTAAAAAGCAGTATGCTTAAAATGTCATTCTAATAATTATCGCATTTACACATATACTGATTCCAAAATTGTCAGGTCAAGCAAATTGTTAATGGTTAAGTAATGGTAGTACAATAATAGGAAATTTAATTTTGCACCTTGAATAAGAAATGATCACTGTTTTCGCTTTCTCATTTTCCAGTCACCTTTTAACCCACAGAATTCTGCTCTTCTCTTCTATTACTTTATTAGCAAATTGCTAGCAGCTATATCCAATTAAAGTTTTTGGTTATCATAGTTGTTTGACTTGTTTCTATAAAGTTTCTCTCCTGATTGTTTCCTGCATCTGCATCTTGATTTAGATTGTTCTTGGTGTACTTTATCTTTGAATATTTCTATTTTTCTGTTTTATTGACAGCCAGTTTTGTCACATATATGCTTCACAGATAATCTTATCTGTATTTTTTACTATCTATACAAATCTTTTCTCTTAGCTTCTCATATGTCCAGCTATAATTATTACCAATTTGAGTGCCTACTATGTGCCAAGTATCATAATATATATCTTTATCTTTAGATTAAAGATAATATATCGTTAGATTTATTATCTCATTTAATCTTGACAATCCTCAACTCTATTTTGCAGATAAGGAAATTGAAACTTATACAGATGACCTGAATTACACAAGGCCATACAGCTAGTAAACAGGAGAGATCCTTGGTTCAAATTTATACCTTACCACTTCCAATGACCATTTTATTTCTGATCCCATACTCTTTTATTTTGGTTAAGTGGATCAGTACACAAGAAATTAAACCATGTTACGGAATCAGCACAGACTCAGAGGAGAGTAATGCTAGATGATATAAAAATCACTGAAGTAGAATCATCTTTTATAAATGAGAAGTTGAGGCTCAAATAATTAGCCCAAAAGTTGTGTGAGTAATTTGTATCAATTTTATAATTAATTTTGCTATGCTTTTTAATAGATATTTTAGACTTTAAATTATAAAATTTATTAAGACTGTCATGGTGCTCTATGATGTAATTTCATAAGCAAACTTTTTGAACATAGCCAGCAATAAGCCATATAAACACCAGATAATAATATCCAAGTTGCAAGTAAGGATGTAAAAGACCATAAATATAAAAATTTACAATTAAAAACTGATGTTATCAATTTTTGTCTTTTAATCTAAATAAAGCTCTTGTAGTACAGGCAAATAATAGAATATACTGTCAGGCCATGTATCCAGGGGTTCTGTATTTGCAGATTAAATTAAGATTGATCAGATACATTTTTTTCTAAAAAATTGTATCTGTATTGAACAAGTACAAGCTTTTTGCCATTGTTTACTAAATACCTAACAATTGTATACATAGCATTTACATTATTTCATGTGTTAAAAGTAATCTAAACATTTAAATATATAAGATACGTGTCCATTTATATAGGGACTTGACCATCCTCAGATTGTGGAATTCTTTACAAGGGAGACTCTGGACTCTATCCCACACAGATTACAAGTAATGGCTATGTAATATAATTGAATACTAAATGGGACAATCATATTCATAATATTTAATTTTGTTGATGTTAGTTTCCTCTAAAGGTGGATGATCATTAGAATGAATTACTATAAATACAAACATGATACAGGAATCTTCACATTTCTTTTAAAAATAAAACGCTTTTGGTGATACAGACTTTTTCTTTTTTCATCTCTTAAACAGTGTATTTAGAAAGCTATCCTGGGCCTGTCTCTCAATGGTTATACTTACTCATGCCTTAAAAACACTACACAGAAATTGGGATTGGGAATCTGAATATACATTATTTATGTCAGCCTTGAAGGTAAGGTATTCTTCAGAATGACAAAAATGTGTTTGGTCATTGATTTTTTGTGGCCATTTCTAAGCTGATTTTAATTCACGTTTTCAGTATGAAGTGTTTTACAAAAAGATTAATAAATCTAAGTTGTCCTCTGTATAATGTATTCCATAATCATGTTCCCTAAATAGTATTTGACTGTGTCCTAAGTGTACTGAATAATTTCCTTAACATTCAATTGTTCGGGTACATATGATAATGGTTCTGTAATGGTTTTATAACTCAGTGAAATAAAATGCACAACAAAAAATGGCTTTGAAAGTGATCAGTGGTTATGATGCTATGGTAAGGTCAGAACTGGTAGGGTTGAGTGATACAGTATTTCTATAGTAGAGACAATGTAAATCTGAAAAGGTTCTCTTGAAGAGCACATTTATTTCCTATAAGGATTATTTTTTTCAGTTTTTCCCTACAACTGCCCTTCTGCAAATCTCTAAATTCTTAATTTTTCTGGGTTTTTTTTCCATTGCCTATCTTAGTGAATTGCTGTGTCATTCCAATAATCCGTGTTCCTTCTTGATTTGACATCTACTTAAGATCAGATAATTCTACTCTTCTATGACACAGTAGCTCCATTTTGTCTTCAGCTTTGCAGACAAGCAAAATTTTAATCATTTTTACAGTTTCTACTTGTGGAAATCAGTGGAACCTTATAATTTTTAGGAATTTTGATTGTCCATACTTCCAAGGCAGTGCTTAAAAACCCACAGCCTCAGTTAGCCGTAGCTAGCTTTTTGATTGTCTATGGTATTCCTGCAAAAATACCATGCCCATCAGTTAACTCTGAAAGTATACAGCTGACATAGAACTTTAATCTAACATTCCCGTTATCACATGGACTATTTGAGCAGCTTTAAAAGTATTTGTCAAGCCTAAAAAGTTGTTAGTGCATTATTGAAATACAGTCTCATATTCTAATACTGTCTCCATTAAAATACTATAAATACCATAGCAGTTTTTGAATAACACTATCCTTGATAAATAAAATTTTAATACAGTTTTAATATGTAAAACGGATGAAATCACACTGCTACTTTAGCATATTAATGAATTAGAGGAAGAGAAGAGTAAATTTGATGAAGCGGTCTTCATTTGGATTCTCGCTCATATCCTAGAGCATGCTCCTAAAATAGTCCATTCTTGATCCTATGCTAAACAAATATTGTGGAAACCTGACTCTTTTTAACTTGTAACACTTCTATTTTTATTTGCACTTAAGGTAAATAAAAATAATGCTAAATTATGGAATAATGTTGGACATGCTTTGGAAAATGAAAAGAACTTTGAGAGAGCTTTGAAATACTTCTTACAGGCCACTCACGTTCAGCCAGGTAAGTAATATTAGTGAATTAATGAATAGTTCATTTTCTTTGAACAAACTGAATTTTATTTGGAGAAATTACTTGTGTCAGACATTTTACAAAATGTTTTAGTTGTTGGATGACATTCATGCACTTGTGCAAAAGTGATATAAGAGTAACTTTAAAAGAGTAGGGGAGGGCTGGCCAAATAGCTCAGCGGATTAAAGCACCTGCAAGCAGGCCCAGGAGTCAAGGGTTCGCTCACTGGGCTACCAACCAGCCCTGCCCCCAGGGTGCACTGAAACAGCAGTTGAGACTGGCGTGGTGATGCCTGCCTGTAATCCCAGCTCTTGGGAGGCTGTAAACAGGCGAGTCACTATGAATCTGATCTAGTAGTGAGACCCTGAACACCGTAGAGACCCCTCCCTAAAATACAGAAAATAAATAAATAGAAGAGTAGGGGAGGAATAACTGGAGACAATTAGTAAAGATAATTGTTAAAGTGCATCAGTAAGACAGTCATAGTGCTCATTATGGGATCAAGAGAAGATGGTACAGTAATAAGGTTTTTTTGTTGCTTTCTGTTTTCAGGTAGGAGACAGAAAACTTATTTGGGGGCTAATCCAGTGAATCTAGAAAAAGTAATACAGGATGGGTGAACAGATAATTAGTGTCTGTGAACAGGGTGGGGAGTTTACTCAAATGTGGATGATGGTTAAACTGGGTAATTGAAGGCACAGTGTGGACATGGATAGAGGCAGGTAAGTAGATTACATGGAGGAAGCTTGTATTTTTGTTTTTGCTTTCTCAGTGAAATAGCTAAATTGTTGGAGAGTAAGGAGAAAAGTTAGTTGAGAAGATGTGAAACAGTCTTCTAAAGTAGTGTTCTACTAACTTTAATGTGCCCATAAATCACCTACTGATCTGTTAAAATGCATACTCTGGTGTAGTTTTATATAGAGCCTAAATTTGTGCATTTCCAGTAAGCTCCCAGGTGATGGTTAGTCTGCGTATCACACTTGGGAAGGTAATGATCTGGGAAACCTATAGACTAGGATAATATAATTGCCAGGTGGCAGTAATAACTTACTTGAGTTTACTAATACTTTAAAATTAAATCAGTCGATGTGGTTATAGTTTTTCTGAATTTGCTTTTTTGCCGTGGTTGTAACGTAGACATGGAAAATTCAGTTGAGGAGAATTAAGACTTTGTAAGATGTGTTTTACTAAGGAAGAAAGGACCAGGGACGGGATTATGATATTGAGACAGACATTCTAAATTGGTTCAGGAGGGATGTGAGACATGTTAAGTGACTGAGAAAAAGTGACAAGATTAATGAATTACATATGTGAAGAATGCTTGACGTCTGTGGAGGATGTAGGTAGAGCAACGGTATTTTTCATTAAGAAGTGCTATTGGTTTTTCAGGTGTGGAGAACTGTATCACACACAATATATACAAAATGTAGCTTCCACTTGCCAAATGCCATTATTATTTATTTCCCATTCTGTGTGACAATCAGCACTCACTCCTACATATTAAATAATCTCAAGGGGGTGCAAAGTAGTAGATATGTACTATTTTTTTCTAGTAGTATTAATTATGTCCATTGACCTATAAGGCAAAAGGTGAAAGTCTTTTAAGGATCATCACAGGCTCAGTATTAATCTGTTTAGACTTTAGAATCACTAAGAATTTTGACAGCTGTGATGTTAAAGAGAGCAGTAGGTAGACAGGATCTATGACCCAGCTTTTGGATAAGAATTGAGGATTATCTGAAAGTGGCAGCAGAAATCAAGGAGGGCACCTCTTATTCTAGGCCTCAGAGTTAGTTACAGAGGATAAGAAGAATAGTCACCAGGGTTCGGAGGTACTGTTTAACCATGTCTCTAAAACAAAAACAAATTTTAGTTAGAAGTAGACAGAAAATAATAGAAATTTAACTGATAGTCTGTCTTCCCAATTTTATTTTCCATAACCTTCATGTAGGTTAATTTTTCTCAATATAGGGTACAGTCCTGTCCCTTTCTCTTTGCCTAATATATTCTTTCCTATGATATAATTTTCTATTTAGTACTGTATTTAAATGTTGATTTACTTAAACTAGAGGTCGCTGTGGGTAACATAAAACATCTGGTTTTTTTATCTCTGCATCATCTTGTAAGAACCTGTACATAGTCACTAAATGTAATAGTTTTGATTCATTAGTTTTTAGTCTTTTTATGTTCATCCTGGATTTTTAGAGAAGTTGTTCTGTTTAATATTAAACACATGAGGGTTGTAAAATGCTGTTCAGGCCCCTTTGCTCATGTCTTTGTTACATGTGAATTGAATAGTAATTTCTATCTCACTTCATTTTTTTTTTTTTTTTGGTTGAACCAGGGATTGAACTCAGACCCTTGCACTTGCCAGGGAAATGCTTATTCCACTGAGCCATCTCCCCAGCCCCTCTCACCGCATTTTTGTAGACTGAATTAAGTGTATATGTGGGTGATAAATATGGTCAACATGCATGACAAATATTAATAAAAAATTTTAAAAGTTAAAGATGTATGTATCAGTATATATATGCCTATTTTATCTAGTCTGTGTGTGTCATGGATGTCATAGGTGGACACTCAGTTTTAAAGATTTTTCCTGTCATTGTCAGTTGTCATTTATTACTATTTGAGATAGTTGCTAAGCTTACTTCCTTCAGTATGACTTGTCTACCACACAAGTGGAATTATTGTACATAGTAAATCAGAATAGGAAGTTAGAATTAATTATGAATAAAGCAAATAAATTTAGATACATTAAATGTAACATTAAGAGGTTTGAGGGCTGGCCAGGTTAGCTCAGCAGACTAAAGCACCTGTTTAGGCAGGCACAGGGACTGGGGTTCAATCCCTGGTGTGCTATGCAGGCTCCGCCCCCAGGCACTCAGACGGTGAATAGAACTGGGCGTGGTGACATGTGCCTATAATCCCAGTGCTTGGGAAGCTGAAAACAGGAGGATCACTGTGAGTCTGGTCTGTATAGTGAGACCCTCTAAACCCTGTATTAAATACATTTTTTAAAAAAAAGGTTTGTAGACTTGTTCTTTGGAGAGTGGTTTGCTATGCCTATAGGTAAATTTAGCAAATGAAAAGCCATGTCATTTTACTATGTTACTGTGTATTGGAAGAAGGGACAAAGTGGTCAGGATGATGCTAAAAAGTGACACATGATGTAATGAAGAAGTTTGGCCTGAAATTTATCCAATTCAGTCTCACCATTTTTTCTCTATAAATTCTGAAAAATAACAATGTCTAATTTCTACAGATCAAATTAAGTACTGATTATAGAAGGCTTAGGCCATTTTCTTGCTTATAGTATATACTCAATAAGTATAAGCTGTTAAATACTAATAACATTCTTTTCAGTGAAGCTAGAGAAGGAGGAAGTAAGTAAAAATACAAGATGCAGGAAATATTAGTCAGTTCTTCATAACTGTTACAAATACTTGAGATTGAGATAATCACTGTAAGAAAGGAAACGTTTATTTTGCTCACAGTTTTTGAAATCCCAGTCCACAGTTGTCTTGCTGCTTTTGGGCCTGTGGTAAGGCAGTAATCATGATGGGAACACGTGGCAGAGGAGGCTGCTCACTTCATGGCAAGCAGGAATTAGAAAGAGACAGGAGGGGCCAGGGCCTCAGTATCCCCTGAGAAGCGTACTGCCATGACCCACTTCTTCTGCTAGACCTCACTCCCAAAGCCTCCTCCAAGTCCCACTAGGGCATAGGTGAGCAACATGGGCCTTCGGGCCAGATCTAAGCTATAGCTAAGAAGGTTGAAAAGAGAATGAATAGCAATGGCCTCTTTGTTGTATTCACTAAGCATAAATTTAAGAATATACAATGTGTCAAGCATTGTTTTACCTGCTGGGGATCCAGCGGCAAATAACACATTTTTTTTCTCTTAATGGCACTCCTGTCACACATACTGGTATGGTAGAAACATTTAAAATTTATTCCTTTCTCTGAAGGTTTGATGATTTTAGTCTTATCAAGTAAACTGGCAGTACATAACAGCAAAAGAATATAATAAATTTTATTGCATGCCTAAGCATGTGAGTGTCATACACTCAGTGGAAGACAGAGGAAAAAATGGCCAAATCTTATTAGAGTTTAGCAAAGGAAGAGGGAACTATGCCCTGTGGAGGGAGTGAAGCTGCAGGTAAGGAGTTGCACAGTGAGCAAGGAGCTGTCTTCTTACATAGAAGTTTCCAGGGTAAGAGCCAGTTGAGGTATTCTTTTTCTGTGCCAGGTATCAGGCCTCTATTTGTTCTTTCTGTGAAAAGATAATTCCAAGCAGATAGGAGAATATCAGATTGAAAAGCCTCTACTTCTGCTATCTTTTAAAAGGACAGCATTTTAGAGCTATCCCTATGCCTGTAGAAGTCTTCACTTTCTTTATTATTTTTGTTATGGGGCAGGAGTAGGGGTAGTATTTGGTATCAAGGGTCAAACTTAGGACCTGTGCTTGCCTGTCAGGTGCTTATGCCACTGAGATAATTCTCTGGCCCTTCAGTTTCTTTCAGTTATCAACTGTAGTAAATCAAAATATGCTGAAGAAATGTATTAGGGGTTAGATATTTAGTCTCCCAAAGTATAGACAGGCAATAGAAGAAAACAAAAACACATAGACATGCACACCTAATTTGCACATCATATTTATTTTACCAGTTTTAGGACAAAAGCTATAGCACCAGGAGTCCCAACAAACCTGCCCTGGCCACTAATTCCTCAACACCAGTCAAGGAGATGAGCAGTAGTGAAGGACAGGAGAGCGGCTTCAGTTAATCATGGTTAGGCAGGAAAGAACAGATAAAGAGTGTCAAGATCTGTCTTTGAAGAGCTGACAGATCCTTTGGGGTTATATATAAAAACAAAGGCGAGGGTTCACAGTTTATATAGCTGTGGAGTTTGCCTAGCTGGCAGTATAGGTAATCCTGGTCAAGTCATGGTCTGTGGATTATTATCAGGACTGGTTCTTCCAGATTCTGGGAAAGACATTGTGACCTGAGGGGGCAGTTCAGTTGCCCTCACAAGATGATAGCTCTTATTTGGGATTGGGGTGAGGGAGCCTCAGTTCCATCACAGGACAAGCTCTCCTGATCTCATTTCATGGCAAAAATAAAAAACGGAGGTTTTAGGAGAGAGGAGTAAAATACTCAACCTATAGGGTTCTAGAAAAGTGAGTTAAAGAAATAAACTACTATAGTTGCAGAGTACATTTGACATTTGAGATCCTCATTTACATTGAATTAATAAATCCTACTGCTGTAGTGTACTTATAATGACAGACTTGTTTGAAATTCTTTACCTCTTTACTTGCACATGTCATTAATTTTTTCATCCTGTCACCTTTTCTTACCTTTTAAAATTCAGGTTGACCTTAAAAGTAATACTGTACTGTTCCCCCCCCCCTTTGAAATCTTATCTTTGTAAATTATAAAAAATTGCTTAGAAATTGCATGACATTTCATTATGTATTTTGATTATTCCAATTGATGCTGAAGGAATTCTGATTGAAATTGGAGATACTTCAATTGGAGATATCAGATATTTTTATTCTGATGTCCAAAGTCTCCACTGATAACAGTATCTTTTTGCCATAATCCTAAAACCTGATTCCAATAAGTAGTAACCCGGCTCATCTTTTAGGTAGAGCCAACCCATACCAATCTCTTTTCTCAGCTTGCTTGAGGTTAATTGATTGCAATGACTTTTTAAATACACAGCTGACATAATTATATTTGTCCATATTTTTTATTTGTCCTTAGCTTAAATTCTTACTGTGTAATTAAGTTTTTTAACTTCTATATATCTTTAGTTCTTTCTAAGTAAGTTTCTAATCTTTTTGACAATTATTACAGATTTAACTGATACAAAAAAACATCTAGTTCTGTAAAGAAAAAGATTGCCTCTCTTTTTGTATGAGCTTGGTAATGCAATTGTTTTTTCAGCCATGTCTCTACATCAGACTTGCCTGTGAAACTTTAACAGCATGTTTTTTGTAAATATTATGTCTGAAGTTTATATGTTGATGGAGCTTGGTGATGTTAAAAGTGTCTGAATTTTTAAAACTGCAGACATTCTGGTTTGTGACCAGCCTGCACTTTTTTGTTTCTTTTTTTCTTGATGCCCTCCTGACTCCATAAAGTTTAGCTATACATCTAAAAAGAAAAAAAATTCAACTCTCTTATCCCTAACCTTGTGCCCCAATTCTCTAACCAAAATTATACCACATCTGCCAGTTTTTATACAGTGCACAGTTGGTAGCTTGAAACATAATGTAGCAAGATCTTAGGACTGTTGCTCTCCTCCTAGGGGAATGCCCAAGATATATATGCTTGGCCCCTATGTGCCCTGGGAGTTGCAGGCAGAGAACTACTATTCCACAATTGCAAAATCATCGGTGTTAACAGGCAAGTAGCAATCATAATTTGAAACCTTGTCATGTTTGCTAGATATTTATGTTGAATAACAACTGTCTTAAGATCTTTCTTCCTTTTATCATCTAAACCCTTGAAATATTTACTAAGGAGTATATCTCTTTGAAATCTGGTGTCCCATTGACTCCTCCCCCCCCCCACTTAACTTTTATTTATTTTCTTTGCCTGAAGGATTTGCTGAGATTTTATCTTCCACATTAGAAAGTGAGACAAAGTTCCTGACATTCTAATATTAATACACTCTTTTAAAAAAGTTTTAGCTATGTTTTATTAGGAATATATCATCATTTAAGAGAAAGGCCATGCACCTTACATAACGCTGTTATCCTGACATTCCATTTAATCTCATTCCAGACACATTCACAGAAATTTTTAGGTAGTAAATCTCAAGTTTTTTCACAGTGTCTTTGGTGTTATTCTCCCCTGAAGCATACTTATTAGCTGTAACACTCTAGTTTTAGGAATAGTAATTCTTTTTTCTTGTAGAAATGAGCTGTTATTTAATTGAATTTCAAAGATACAAGAGAGTAAGGAAATGGACATAAGCCAAAGTATAATATAGTACCCCTTTAAAGATCCAATCAGGCAGTTTTCTACATCATGTGCATTTTGTTTTTACAGTGCTTTGAGTAATTTTGTAGTGTGTCATCCATTTTAATAAGTTGTATAAGAACTTCAAAGAGAATGTAGAACTTTTCTGCTTTTGCATTTTTGTCTGGTGTATTTGTTTCTAGAACCACATCTCAGTATGAAATACTATTTAATATAATTGCCAACAAATGCTTTCCCCCCCCCCAACTTTTAGATGATATTGGTGCCCACATGAATGTAGGAAGAACTTACAAAAATTTAAATAGAACTAGAGAAGCTGAAGAATCTTACATGATGGCCAAGTCACTGATGCCTCAGGTAAGTTATCAGAATGTGTTGTGTCACATTTATGATACATCTGTATTGGGTAGAATTATCTAGATAGGAAATCCTTTTCTTCAGTTTGTTGATGCAAAAATAGGTGTCTACTGAGTGCTTTAATTCTACAATCTTTGTGTATATTTACATTTTTAGCTCATTTAATCTTTTAAAAATTATTTTTGTATATAGCCCATTGTAAATACTTAATCTTAGAATATGAATAGTAGATCTTTGGATTACCATGAAATAAATAAATGAAAATTTTATTAACATACTGTAAGCACCAAATTCAGCATTATTGTGATCTAAAACAATATAAGTGACAAAATAGATGTATCTCTGTTGCTATATTGCATTCACTAGTTATTACAATGGCACAAGTACAAGGATTCATCAAATCTAGTAGTGTAATACCAAAAATGAAAGATCTGATCCTACCCTTTATCATCTGTGTGTCATCAGCAAAGACAATATGCCCTGGTTGCAAATTTCTCAATTGTAATAATATTTATAATAGTCATATTAATAATTGGGTAATATAGTTTCTAAGAATAAAACTGCATTATATGACAGCTAAGGAATTTCCATACTAGCATGATACAGTTTAATTACTACAGGTTTTTATGGCAGTTTGTGTTTCTTAAAAATGTGGAACACACTCTCTCTCTCTCTCTCTCTCTATATATATATATATATATATATATATATATAAAATCACCTTTATTCACTGTATATGCACCTAAGCACTTTTATTCAACCTGAAAATTAGAGCATTTTATTTCCTCACTTTACCAAAGAAGTGATTTTTTTTTTTTTTTTTTTTTTTTTGGTGGAACCGGGGATTGAACTTAGACCCTTGCACTTGCCAGAGAAGCACTTATTCTACTGAGCCATCTCCGTGGCCCCCAAAGAAGTGAATTTTTACTATAACTCCAAAATAGTTAATTGCCCTGCTGTTCATAAGGAAACGTTTTGTTAACAGCATGAAATGCTCCGATGGATATTAAGAGACCTTGTCTCTAAAGGTTCTCATTTATTTGACTTTGTAAAAGATAAGTGTAGGTAAATTTAGCAATAGTTCATTGAGTAGGCATGAGTGAAAAAAAAATGCATTTTGTGAATATTACACATTTTCTTTCACATTTAAAAAAAATTTATTTGGTACAAGGTCTCACTGTGCAGCTCAGACTCAGTGATCCTCCTGTCTTAGCTTCCCCAGCGCTGGGATTACAGGCATGTGCCTCCATACCTGGTTCTGGGGCCGGCACAGCATGTGATACCGGAGATTGAACGCAGGTCTTTCCTCTTGCCAGGCAGGTGCTTAGACTGCCGAGCTATCTCCCCAGCCCTTCTTTCACATTTTATAGTCTTTTTTTTTTTTTACATTAGTAAAACTAGCCCTATAATCTTGTGTTCTATATTATTTTAAGTAAGCCACCAGGAAAGCTAACTATATACGTAATTGTAACAATACTATTTCTTCTGAACAGATTATTCCTGGTAAAAAATATGCAGCCAGAATTGCTCCTAACCACCTAAATGTGTATATCAATCTGGCCAACCTGATCCGAGCAAATGAGTCCCGATTAGAAGAAGCAGATCAGCTGTACCGGCAAGCAATAAGCATGAGGCCTGACTTCAAGCAGGCTTATATTAGCAGGTATGTAGGTTATGTTAGGGCTGTCACTATAGAAGATTGAAACCACATCTGCATGTACATTTTGGCTATCTGTGCCTGTTTTTCTTGTAGTCATCTAACTTGGCAACCAAGGACATATAAGATTGTCCCGAACCAGCGGGTCAGTCAACGAAGGTCACCTGGGGGAGGAGCGAGGAATTAAAGAGGGGACAAAGGACAGGAAACACAATGAATGGAGACAAGACAGGATTCTGATCAAGTCTCATTTATTTAGGGGAGGTGCTGCGTATATATAGTGAAGGCATAGGGAAATGACGTCAGCGGGTAAAAGGTGCAAGTAACTAGGCAACCGGGCTATGACAGGAAGTCCCACCTCCTAGGCATAGCAGGAGACTTATGGGAAATAGGCAGGGTAAGATCTAGGAACCTAGCTCATGAGAGGTAGGGGAAGAGGAACCCAGAAACCCACTTGCAATATAATTGGCGGCCTAGAGTTATTGTGCCCCCCACAAATCCCCCTTTACTTTTATATAGGTATATAAAATATGGCTTTTTAGACGGCTGATTCCCTTGAGGGGGCAGTGCCTGTCTTAGGTTGAGGCGTCCTCTGCACAGACCCGACTCAAACCTTACCCATCATAGGAGACTAGGACGGCAGAAGGTCCCGTTGCTGTCTTAGGCGGTGAGTGGTGTCTCATGTATGCCCCTCATTACCCGTCTCTGGCTAGCCTGACCATCTCACCAAGGGTGGGAGAACTAAGAGGTCTCCGGACCTTCATCATCATAAGCTGGTTGTATTCCAGCGCAGTTTTCCCTTTCAGCCATCTCAAGCCTGTGATAATAAACTTGAATAGGTTGCATTTTAATGGCATCCAATTGTTTTTTAACGAAAGTCATCAGCCTATTGAAAAGACAGAGTCCTCTTGATAGAAGTATTAATAGTCCAATCAAGGGTCCCAATAGGGGAGAAGGCAGGGTAGTACTCCATTCCATGTGCTCCAGAAAGTGTTTTCAAATAGCTCTCTTCTCCTCTTAATAAGATCTTCCTAAAGTCTCCTTATTTTATCTCGAACAATCCCGGACTTGTTTGCGTAGAAGCAGCAGCGTTCCTGTAAAGCCAAGCAGATCCCTCCCTGCTCTGCTGTTAGAAGGTCTAAGCCCCTCCTATTTTGCAAGACTACTTCTGCTAATAAATCTGTCTGGTCTTGGCTATCTTGGATAGTACCAGACAGTGTTTGAACATCATCAATCAGCTGATTAGATAATTTGGTATAAGAATGTACTGCTACTCCCAACCCTGCTGTGCCTGTCCCCATGGCCGCCGTGACTCCTAGCCCCACTAATAAAGGGTTGAACTGGACTGCCCTCTTTGTGTGGCCCATAGCATAATCTAAACTGGGAAGGGGTAGGGGATCATTACCAGAGATGACATCTATATCGGGCAATACAATTGCCATGACACACAGTCCTGTCCAGTTGGTAGGTAAATATATGAAGGCTAAACTTCCCCCGCATACATACACATGTCCCTTTTTTGGGCAAATAGGGCTACTGTAGTTAAGTATTTGATTGCAGCTGGTAAAGGTAACAAATCCAACATCAACAGTGAAGCTGTCATTGTGGATGCCTCCCTGCATGCAGGGACTTCCATAGGAGATAATCCCCCCCGGAGAGGGTGGCTCTGGCTAATGCCTGCCAGTCCTTGGGAGTAAGCTAATTTTTGGCCACAGTTTTTAAAATGGCTGTGGTGTATGGAGCCGTGGCTCCGTATTGGGCAACCGCCACTGCCATTCTGGAACAGGGGCCTTGCGGCTTTCCCCTCAAGGCAAAGTCCCTGACCTTTGCAGTTCTGAGGCTGTAAAGGGTGGAGACCTGCCTCCTCCTGTGATGCCCTCAGGCTATCCCTTCCATTTTCAGGTTCCTTCCCGGCAATGGAGATCCTCTCAGCTCCATCTTTGCAGTCTACAGCTTTCTTGGCGCTTTCTTTCTGGCCAAGCTCACAACATTTTAAATCCTCCTGCTGGGCTCCTTGCTCTTTATTCTCAACATAAATCTGGCTTCCTGGTTTCGATTTCAAGATTCTGTTCCCTTAGGGGACACACCCTTAGGGGGTTCTTTGTGCTTTAAGATGGGTTTTACCTTTTTGTCCCTGTAGTATATTTTCACCCTTTTTTTTTTATCACAGCAACAACTGGGTCAGAGTGTCTCTGGGATAAGATTTCATCAGTTAAATTCCAGTAGGAAAAGGCTTTAACTGGGACCTTTTCAGGTCCAAAAGTCGCATAATAATCCTTAAGGGCATCACCAACCCTTTTCTATTGCCTCTGATCAATAGTTCCTTCAGTAGGGAACCATGGGCAAACTTGTTTAATATATTCAAAATATTGACACTAATCCTTAATTTTAACCTTTACTCCTCGTGCCTTTAATGCTTTGCTCAAGCTTTCTACAAATATCTCTTGTTCACTTAATGCCTGTCCTATTGCCAAGGGAAAGGGAAAGGGGGTGCCGTCCGCTTACTGAGGTTCAGATGTCGCAGCAGGCAACTGCGGCGCAGGCCTCTTTTACTTTCTGTTTTGCCTCTTTTACTTTCTCTTTTGCCAGCTCTTTTGGATGGTTCCCTCACTGAACCCTCTGTGCCAGGGGCCCCACGTTGGGTGCCACTTGTCCTGAACCAGCGGGTCAGTCAACGAAGGTCACCTGGGGAAGGAGCGGGGAATTGAAGAGGGGACAAAGGACAGGAGAAGCGAGAAATGGAGACAAGACAGGATTCTGATCAAGTCTCGATTTATTCAGGGGAGGTGCTGGGTATATATAGGGAGTGTAGGAATGAGGAAGTCTTGGCTCTTGGGGTTAGCAGGTATGTAGGCAATGGGGAAGGTGCAACCCCTGGGACATAGCACGTGATTCACGGGGAATGGGCAAGGTGAGAAGGACCATAAACTTAACTCAGCAGGGGAATAGAAACTTAAGAAAATGGTTGAAACTATTATAAAATGGATACCAGTTAATGGCTTCCCACATAAGATCATACCTTGTTTTAGACTAAAATCAAATTTAATTGAAGTTGACAAAGAACCTCTAAATTGTCATATCAAAAGTAGATTTTATGTAAAAGGATAAAAAGGAGCTGTTCTTTACTTTTGTTGTTTTCTTGTCAACAAAATCATTTTCTTTTTCCTATTTAAAATATTTGGAACTTATACAACAGTTCTATTCTCAGTAGCGTTCTTAAATAAAGTTTGAGTTGAGTGGTTATAATGTCTTCACCATAAAATTTCTTAGTCATCAATAAAAAAGTTTTCTGGCATTGTGTGTTAAAACTTGATATATTTTCTTATGTATGTAAGTATTATCATTTACATACTTAAGGAAAATTGTATGTTAAATTTCATTTTGTAGCCTGTCTGGAAAACAAATCATAATTCATAACAGTATTTATATGAGGAAAGTATATTCAAATTTAACTTTATAAAAAATAAAATCAGTTCTTAAATTGGTTGTCATTTTTTAGTTTTACCCAGATCTGTGTGTTATATGCTAATCCACAAAGATTTATTCTGTAATCTCTGTATTTAAAAAAAATCTTGAATTTACTCTTAGTAGTTGCTTAAATTAAAATATTAGTAAAAATTATTCTTTAGGCAAAATAACTTATGATGTAATTTTCAAACTAAAAGATGTATTCCACAAAGCTATCTGCAGGTGGCACTGTTGCCTTCCTACCCTGCTAGATTTTTTTTTTTTTTTGTGATTACATTTTTCAAAACTGGTCATATGTCAAATGTTCTGCTGATTTGTAGTTTAACACAGATTTAAAGACAGAATTTCCACTTTCTGTTTTTCTTCTTCTAATGCTGTAACTTACCTGACAAATTCTTTGGTACTGCATTCTGAGTATTTGCCATTTTTCTGATGCAGTTTACTCTCTGCCTTTTAAGATATATTGAAAGACTAGATTTTTTTCTGTGACCCTTTCTTGGATACCTCCCCACATCCTTCCTAAAGTTAAATGATTTTTCTGCCTTTAGGAATATTTGGAGCTATATTAAGCCAAATTTGCAGATCTGAGAGCAATTAGTTTTTTGATAAAGAACTTTAGCAAATCAAATTTTCAAAGGAAAAAGAAAGCTGTATTTTGAAAGTCTTAAAACTTAGATAGATATCGTCAAACTAACATAAAAACGTATATTTGGTTTTTTTTCCACAGGGGAGAATTGCTCTTAAAAATGAATAAACCTCTGAAAGCAAAGGAAGCATATCTTAAAGCACTAGAGTTGGACAGAAATAATGCCGATCTTTGGTATAACTTGGCGATTGTGTATATTGAACTTAAAGAACCAAATGAAGCCCTAAAAAACTTCAATCGTGCTTTAGAACTAAATCCAAAGCATAAACTAGCATTATTCAATTCTGCTATATTAATGCAGGAATCAGGTATGTTTTCTCAGAATATTTGTTTAATCAAATGTAACTTGGTGTATAGTAAAAACTTAGACTTTGTTTCCTATAGCAAACATTTTATAGATGGCTAGTTTATAAGTACATAAATAGCTAATGAAATAAGACTATTTGAAATACTTGAAGTAAACTATTCAAATTGCAGATACTAAAATATGAGACTTCTAATGGTTCATTCTCCTGATACGTGTTTAACACTAAATTTTTAGGCAGTCTATTAAATAATACCTAGGTAATTTTATGCATTTACATGTAAACTTTCATATTAAATATGCTATCCAAATAATATGAACTAGTGAAATTATTTCCATAATTAGTTCTAAATATCCAGAATTTTTTTTTTTTTTTTTTTAATTAAGCATTGGGCTGGGGATATAACTGAGTAGCTCAAGTGCCTGCCTGGCGCAAGTGCAAGGTCCTAAATTCAATTCGTACTATCCCAAAATAAATAAATAAATACAGTATTGCATTTTCATTTGAGTTACAAGAATAAGTACTTTGGGCAAATCTTTTTATGTATTTATTTTACTGATTTTTCAGAAATATTATAATTTTCTCTAATCTAACAAAACTAAGTCATTAATCTCAGTAAGTCGGTACCTTTAATCCATACTGTATGCAGAAATTTTAGTTTTTTCACAGAGCAGTTATGTGATTACAACCTAAAATTTTTATAATGGAAAATATTTATTTAAAACTTCTAATTATTTCCTGGTGTCATTTTTACAATATTTACAAAAAATGAATAATTTGTAAAAGTTGTAGCATTTTAGAGCTAAAAAAGACCTTTGCATTTACTTTACCAGTTTAGTAGGTCGGGAAGTAGGTTCAAGTAGATTTAGTGACTTCCCTAACTTCATGTGACTACTTTAGTAGCTAATCCAACAGTAAAGCTGAAGCTAATTTGTTTAAAATTTTTCTTACTCATGTCAATTAAAAGAATGCAGAGGTCATTTTGCCTTATTTTCAAAAATACATGTTTAGAGACAAACTTAATATCTAACTTTAGTAATCATGAAAATCACTTTTTTCCTATATAGATTGTACCCTAAAATTTTTTTCTATATAGTTGTAGAACTTGAAAAAAAATTGTTAATTTGCGATAGAAATTAACTCAGTATTTTTCAAATCCCAATTTTAGTTTTGAAGTTAATTGTGTATTTTGCCCTTGAAACATCCTAAAAAGTTTGAAGTTACATACCAGAAAAATCTAATTTAGTAATTCTTAAACTTTGTTTTCCAATTATAATTACAATTTGCTATATGATATGTATTATGTATATATGCTGTATATAATGTAATTCTTACAAAATTGAGTAAGCTTACCCAGAGAAGTTAAATAACTTGTTGAGTATATAAAATTAGAATCAAAATTGTGTAGTTCCATTCAGGAGATCTAGTTCTGCATTCTCAGTTCTCTGTTCTTCCCCCATTATTATCCAGATAGATTAGAAAATACAAGATTTTTTCCCTTTTTAGTTTCAGAAACACAATATTAACATTTAAAGGAAAAAAATGACCTATCATTTCTCTTATCAAATGGTTATCTTTTCAGTGAAGATAGACTTTTGCTAGTTAAGATTTTTTGATAGACACAGACATTAGTTGCTTTGGTGTTGTCATTTTGTAATCTGATTAAATGTTTGGAAATGGTTCTGTTCTTCAAACTTAATTCATTTCATGATACTAATAGATGCTTTCTTTTTCTCTTAAAAAAAAAAAAAAAAAAAAAAACCTCTCCATAGGTGAGGTTAAACTCCGACCTGAAGCTAGAAAACGACTTCTGAACTATGTAAATGAGGAGCCACTAGATGCTAATGGTTATTTCAATTTGGGAATGCTTGCCATGGATGACAAAAAGGACACTGAGGCAGAGATTTGGATGAAAAAAGCCATTAAATTACAAGCTGACTTCAGGAGTGCTTTGTTTAATCTGGCTCTCCTCTATTCTCAGACTGCAAAGGAATTAAAGGCTCTGCCAATTTTAGAAGAATTACTCAAATACTATCCTGATCATATCAAGGGCCTCATTTTAAAAGGAGACATTCTGATGAATCAAAAGAAAGATATACTTGGAGCAAAAAAATGTTTCGAAAAAATCTTAGAGATGGATCCAACCAATGTGCAAGGGAAACACAATCTTTGTGTGGTTTATTTTGAAGAGAAGGAGTTACTGAAATCGGAAAGATGTCTCGTTGAAACATTAGCATTAGCACCACATGAAGAATATATTCAGCGCCATTTAAGTATAGTCAGAGATAAAATCTCCTCATCTGATTTTGTAGAACAGCCAGCACTCCCAGCTGATAAGAGTACAGGTGGAGAAGAAAAAGACAGAATTCCAACTAAAAATGTAAAAGAAATCAGAAGTGAGTCTAGACCAACACAGATAACAAAAACAAGTGATGATCAAAGTCAGTCTAAATCCAACAAACAATTGGAGAAAAATACAAACAAAGAGGCCCCCCAAAAAACAAAAGACATCAAAGAAATTGAGAAGAAAAGAGTCGCTGCTTTAAAAAGACTTGAAGAGATTGAACGTATTTTAAATGGAGAATAACATTATTCTTTATCATGTGACAATGGTATCAAAAGACTTTAATCTTTATCATGTGATTCCTTGTATTGGGAGCTTTGAAAAACAGATCTGTAACTCTCTTTATGAGGTGATTCTACATGGAATGAAAGTAAGATTTTTCATTTAAGACCTATCTTATCCCAAAATATATATTACACAAAATTGGCAGAAGTTTCGGTTTTGGTGAATACAGCAGAAATATCAAATTGTAGGTGACAATTTTGTAACTTCTATTACATAAGGAATTTTTTTGGCAAGATAATGTTTACTACTCAGAATTTAAGAGGCTGACTGGTGATCCCTCGAGGACAAATTGAACATAAGCTGTTTTATTCTGTGAATTCCCATTTACTAACCTACTTCATTTTCCTCTTACTGCTTGAAACCTGGTGATGGGATGAAAACACCTACTGATGCTTTTTCTTCAGCAGTTTTTATGTTGAACCAAGAGATTTTGCACTAAAAAAGCATAGTGACCTTTTTATGTTATGTTCTTTGATTTGTAGAAGAAATGCTGGGTACCTGTTTTGAAATGAATCATATGACATGTTAGTTTAGGAATGTATTTTCATAATTACATACTTACCCTTAATTTAACTCCAAAATGCAGTTTTTAATAAGGTAAGGATTACACACATATATGCATAAATATACATATATCTGATGGTGCTCATGAATACTGTATTTTTTTTTTTCCACATCAGGTATCACAACATGAACTATATAATCATGACTGTTCTTTGACTTTTACTCTGAATTTTTTGTTTTTTAGGGACATAGTCATATTTAGAAGTGTCAGTAACCTTAAACTTTGAAGTAATAATAGTAAGCTTCTCTTTCATCTTAGTGTTGACTTTGATTTTCTTTGAATTTTATTTTGTTTCCAAGTCATGCTATAATCATTCGTAGATACCTTAAGTCACTCAAGCCTCTGTTTAACTAAAGGCAAAGTTGTGTGACAGTTTATTTTTAACACTAAATTCTTGATATCTTCTTGTGGTATATATTTTTATTAAATACTATTTATTTTGACTACTGAGCTTTCATAAAAATTGTAAAGCTGTTTTAATTATGTAAAGTATGGAAAACTAATTACTAGTGCATTTGCCTATACATGCTATATATATTATGGTTTAAGAACAATTATGTCACTGTTGACTTTTCTTCACTTATAAAAATAATAACCTAATACCAGATTAATAAATTTGTGATTTGGTTTTGATATTTTAAATCTGGAAGCTATGTTAGGTTAAAAGTAGCTATAAATTAAAAATTTTAGACATGATTTTTATTGAGTTAAGATCTGTTTCAGATGAGGTTTATAATAACGAAGTTGACTTAGTTTAAAATGCTAAATAAAGCTCAAGTTATTCTGGGATAGTAATTTCTAATTATGCACTATTTCAAAAAATATTTTTAGTTCCTTTAAGGTAACTAATTTCTAATTATATGTCTCAGAAACCATATTCTTGTAATTTTAAGAAATATTTTATAAATAGGTCACAAAAAATATGATCTTCATTAAAGACCTAGGTTTACTGAGTTCCCAGGGGATATGGCATAGATTTTTCCTTTTTTAAAGGAAATTTTAAAAGAAGCACTGATATCATGGGTTTTAATTCTTAACCCAAGAGATTCTGTTAAGCATCAGAATCTAGTTTCAGTTCTTAGACTATGGCTTTGTGACTTTGTATGTGACTTCATGTATAAGGTAGAGAGTACCTCATATACCGTGACTTGAAAAATTAAACTGTTGTTTTGTTCTCTTCATGTATCCTAAGGCAAGTTTCTTGAGTGTAATCTCTTTGGGTGCAGTTTCAATTGAAAGACAATTTAGAAAAGTAATAGGAAATCTTTTATGACAGGAGACTATGATAAAAGTTTAAGGTGCATTTTAATAAATTGAAGGTACATAGTAATGTTTTCCAATGATTTCTAATAGAAAATTCTTATTAGCACTTAATGTCTATCACAGGAAATATTCATATATTTGAATTTTAAGTAATTTATTTAAATAAAATCCATCCCAAGTTATTAGTGTTCAAATTAAAGATTCAATATAGACATTAGTGAAATCTGAAATTCTAAGATACAGCTATGCTTTAAAGTTTTCCCTATACTTTTCTCTGATTCTGATTTGTTTTAGTGTTAAGGGACTGCTGCTCTAAATTGTTTCAGTAAAATCTCTCTTGGGTTAACTTGTTGAATTAGTAACATAATCCAGTTTAGTTTTGATAGTTTGTTTCATGAAGGAGCATATTCTGATAACTAATACTCCTTGAAGGAAGATCTCAACTTTCATGCAGCTTGCTTATGTGTAGTGTCTCATCAATGAATTCAAAATAAAAACTCAATTCAAATTGTTAAGGTGAGGAAAAGTGCTGGGCTTTTTTTTTCCTCTTGAGCTTACTTTTTGAAGAGATAATGAGACCGATAAGCCCAGTTCACTAAGCATGGTTTGGGAATTGTAGTTGTCTGTTAAATTCGGAGAAAAAAGCCTGTCACTGGTTTATGTCCTGTAAATGAATGTAGTTTTAATTTTCAGTATTTTGCAAAAGCTTTTACTCCCCAGAAATTCTAGCAAAGCTTTGACAATCCCTAAGGAGTTGTGTCATTTTATTCCTTTACTACTTCTGGAAGGTAAAATGAAATTTCTCAAGTTGTTTCTATGTGTGGTTCCTTATAAACATTTGAAAATGGGAACTTAAAATTATTCCAGTAAGTAGTACTCTCAAGTTAATGTAGGGAATAAAGTAAATAAACATGTAATTTTGTTTTGCAATTTTGTGTTTACTATACTATAAATATTTAGTAAGTAAATTACATAATTCTAATAAAACCTCATGCTTTTTCATTACATCCAATTTGAGCTCTCAACTTTATATTATAGAATGCTTCTTCAAAGATGCTTTAATTAAAACTATTAAGAAAATATAGATTTGTATGTCAGTTTATACTTCAGAAATCCATATATTTGTCATACTTATTTTTTTAAAAGCCTCCTAATTACATGACTTAAATGGCATTTAAAATTAGCTCCTCCAAAATATCCAGTAACTTTGTCCAAATTTTTATGTGTTGGAAGCAGCCAGCCATCCATATTGAGTTCATAAGAAAGTTGTTTTCCAATTGTATGCATTTTATATTACTGTGGTGTCTGTGTGTACCGTATTTCTAAATATTCAGTATTAAATTGATTCTTTTTAAAACTTGACTTGCCTTTTAATGCGTATGTATATTAGAGACACTTTCGCCTTAGGAAGAAAACGTGACATGTGATTTATTAAGTGGTCTGCAAAAGGCATACATTACATTATTTGATGGTGATACATCTTTAGTTATGAGTTCATTATGAGTTTCAATCACTTATTAGAGGCTAATCAAAAACTAAATTAAGTGAAAAAGTTAAAGTACAGAGTTTTATACAAGTTTTAAGTCCTGCATGTGTATGGGTTCAAATTTTGAGACCATCATAGTTTAACTTAAGGAAAATTAGCCTGTATCCTTAGTTTCCTCATCATAAGTTGGGGAAGCCCATTTCTTATAAAATTATAAGGTGAATTCATATACTAGACATGTATTTACTATATATTAACAATTTATTTAAAACTGTTATAGTCAGGGCTTGCAGGGTACTAGATTTAATGCAGGATGTGTAATTCATAGTATTATTTTATAATGTTTACCCAGTCAAATGCAAAAGAGTACAGATCTGTGCATATCCTAGAGATTCAAAGAATCCAGCTGAGGGCCAGGATCCCACAGCAATGTCCTATATAAATCCAGTCCAAGGCCTGGAGCCCATGACAATGTCTCATGTAAGTCTGTATCAAGGCTTTGCACTGGGAAGGCCTGAAGGTCAATAGTGGAAGCTTGAAAGTGTACCAGCAGGATGAAGGATCTACATTGGAGTCAAAAAATGACATTCAAAAGTAAGGACTGGAGCTCCCCAAAAAAGAACTGAAGCCTCCTGAGCTCCAATGATGAAAACAACTGAGTTCATATCAGGAAAGCCAGCTTGATTAACAGCGCACAAACTTTCCCTTCAGTTTTTTCTCTTTTTATGCTGTTGGCAACAAGTCCCAGCATCAAGAGAAACAAAGATGCATGATCACTTAAGTTTATCCACTACCCCACTGTAAAGCTACTGCTGGCTTGCTGGGATAAATTATGGATTTGGACTCTGTCTCCATATGTTGTCTACCAGTGACAGCAGAGATAAAGTGGATGTTTCTGTTTTCTTGGATTTTTTTCTTCATTGTTTGATGTTTTTATATGAGTGTAAATGTGTTCATAATGTGGTTGTGATTTAGTTGTTTTATTTCTTCCTTCTCTTGCCCTCCAGTCTTCTGCACCAGTTTCCCAAAGTTTTCATTACCCTCCTTTGTTCTCCAGCATAGCTTCTAATTGCTCCCTCTTCTTTTTTTCTATTTTCCCCTGAACCTCTTTTAAATTTTCTCCTCTGAGGGTGAAATTGGCATATTGAAGGATATTTACTATATAACATTTTTCGGTTTTAAGTTTTGTTATATATGTACAAATCTAGTGCCCATGTTAGCGAATTAATAACCTCAATTTGTCATTTTCTGGGCTGTGTTTGATGCTGTAGTTATTGCTGATTGTACCACTTTAACCAAAGTGACATAATTGTTCTATTCAGCTGTTTTTCCTTGTATACCAATACTGAGAACGCCCAAGGGCCATAAAAAATACAGTAGGCAGTGTCAGAAAACCAGGGCATAAGCCAAGTAGACAGTAACTTCTTATCCCCAATAAGTTGAAGTAGGATCTTGGAACAGACTCAAAACCCAAAAGCCAGCTGCATCTGGAAGATATCTCTGAGAACTAGTAATTTCCTAAGTGTTCTAAATAGTACCAGTAAAGCTACTCACAACAGGAAATTTATAAGCATTAACCCAGGAATTTTTTTAAAAAGTACAAAATGAGAAGATAAAATGCAAACCCAGATACCCAGTTCACCAAAGGCAAATCAAGGGGGCAATGAAGTGGAACAATCAAAGCCACCCACTTGACCTCTGAAGTGGTTAAAAACAAATTAACAAGGCTCTAGAAAAAAAAATCAGAAATAATTTCTCAGTGAGCAAGTAATCACTGATGGTGACCACACTGAAAAACATACTTAGTGACTATAGGGTGATACAAATAAAAGACTAGAGCTTAGTCAAATGGTGGAAACCATGAGTGTCCAATCCAGGAAAGAAATAGATCCAAGCAGTTATCCAGGAGATTAAATATTTCTTTGAAAGTATATGCAGCAGGATGAGACAATATGAGGATAGAATCTCAGTTATTAAAGGCAGGCAAGTAGTGATCATAAAAAAGATTTCTTAATAGCAAATGACCAGGAGAAATCAATATCACAGCTGCTAGATGTAAAGAAGAGTAAGATTTGTTGGAGTAAATGAAAAAATGGAGTACAAAGCACATAAAAAGCCTGTTCATAGGTGTCACTTTAATGGTCTCATTTCACCACTGAAAGAAACACTGGAAAAATGAATCAAGAAGCAAGATCAAAGGGCCCGCCAAATAGCTCAGCGGATTAAAGCACCTGCAAGTAGGCACTGGCCAGGGGTTTGATCCCTGGGCCTGCCATGCCGGTTGCTGCCTCTCCTCCCCCCACCCCTCCGGTCTCACAGAGGGTGATTGAGACTGGGAGTGGTGGCACATACCTGTAAACCCAGCACTTGGGAGGCTGTAAACAGAATCACTGAGTCCAATCTAGTAGTGAGACCCTGAACACCCACCCTGTAGACCCTTCCCTAAAAATACAGAAAAAAAAAAAAAAAAGGTCGAACAATATGTTAAATGTAAGAAACATTCACCTTTTTACCAAGGTTGCACTGAAGGCAAAGAAGGAAGCCCCCGCCCCTCCCAAAGCTGAAGTCAAAGCAAAAGCTTTGAAGGCCAAGAAGGCCATGCTGAAAATCATCCACAGCCACAAAAAGAAGATAGGAACGTCACCCACCTGCTATCCCAAGACACTGCAGCTCCAGAGGCAGCCCAAATACCCTCAGAAGAATGCCCTCAGGAGAAACAAGCCTGACTACTATACTATCAGGTTCCCCCTGACCAGAGTCAGCCATGGAAAAGATCAAGCACAACAACGCACTCGTGTTCATTGTGGATGTCAGAGCCAATAAACACCAAATCAAACAAGCTGTAAAGAAGCTCTATGACATCAATTTGCCAAGGTCAATACCCTAATCGGGCCCGATGGTGAAAAGGCACATGTTAGACTGGTTCCTGATTATATGATGTATTGGATGTTGCCAACAAAATTGGGATCATCTGCACTGAGTTCAGCTGGTTAATTCTAAATACATACTTTTTTTTT